GTATACCAGGCCGCGCGTTCAAGTACCTCTGCCTTACACGCCTGTTATCCTCGCTGCTTCTGTAGTGTTCACACATGAGACGGTGGTGTTATGGGGTTGCACAATCCCATAACGCCACTATATATATATATATATATATATATATATATATATATATATTAATAAATTATGCTCCACTGACGATTACAACACATTGTAAATTACTGTTGGCAAACTAACAATATACCAGAATCATGGCAAACTGCTAAAGTAATATCCATATTTAAAAAAGGGGATCGAAAAGATTGTAATAATTATAGAGGAATCAGTATCTTAAATGCAGTGTATAAGCTATACGCTAGAATACTAAATAAAAGATTAAAATGTATCTCAGAAACTCTTATTGGTGAGGAACAGAATGGTTTTAGAAAGGGGAGATCGACTACAGACAACATATTTATACTGCAACAAAAAATAGAAAAAAGAAAGGAGTTCAACCAACAGACACACATAGGCTTTCATAGGCCTTGTAAAAGCTTTCTAAAATGTAAATAGAGCGAAACTCTTGTCTATAATGACAAAAATATGGATATCCTCAAAAGTTAGTAGGAGCAATAAAGAGCTTGTATAAAGATTCTACTATTGTTATAAAAGTAGGAACAAATGAAACTGATAAAAAGTATTGATACACAGAGGAGTACGGCAAGGCTGCCCAGTATCACCAACACTTTTCAATATTTTTATCGATGACATTATCCAAAATTGGAAGAAAATAATTTACAAAGGTATCAGGATATCAAAAGAAAGTATTTTAAATATTTTACTCTACGCAGACGATGCTTTGACATTCGAGGAAACAGAAGATGATTTACAATACGCATTATTCAACTTAAATCATTTATGTAAAAAATACGATGTTGAAATATCGAAAGAAAAAACAAAGGTGATGGCATTTTGGGGAAAACACTTAATAAGATCAAAAATTACTTTGGACAAAAAAATATTAGATCAAATTTCCAATTTCAATTACTCAGGTTGTCAAGTCGATCAAGATACCAATAAAGATATCAACATTAAATTGGCAAAGGATTTATGGTATTATACATAACACACTAAAGAACAAGACAAGACACAAGAATAAAGTTTTATGACACCATGGCTCTTCCAACTCTTCTATACGGAAACGAAAGCTGAGTACCAACAAAAAAAGTTTTAAGCAGAATCCAGGTTGCTGAAATGAAGTTTTTGAGGAGAACGCTAGGCTGCACGAAAAAATATAATATTTATAATGAGAAGATAAGAGAAAAATGAAATGCTGAAAAAATTGGAAGCAAAATAAATAATTATCGAGATAATTGGCACACGCAAAGGATGGATGACTTAAGACTACCTAAATTAGCTTTCCTCTACCAGCTACTTGGAAGGAGAGACGTGGGAAGACCCAAAAAACGATGGAAGGAAAACTTGTGAAGACGGAACAGGTTCAAGCCTAATCCATAAAGTGCAGAAGAAGAAGACCTTCATTTCACAACCTGAACTCTCTCCAAGAAATTAACCAAGCCAACATGACCCCAACACAATAATTGACACAGTCAATGACATATTAACATATTGATAAATCATGGATGTGAACAAAATTCTACATAAATCGCTCCCAACTAATATAATTACCTTAATCCAAACAAAAAATAAAACAGAAATCCTTAAGAATTCGTTCATTAAAAATAAATTAAAATAATACTTGTTAAAAGGTTCTCAACCGATCTAAACAAGAACAATACAATTCCTATATCACTACCTTAAATAATAACAACAACTCACAGTTTACTAAAAGATTCTTTAAAAAAAAGACAAGTATTCCTCCATTAGCAACTAGTGATGGTAAAGAATACTCCCCAATGGAAAGAGCAGAAGTAGTGGCCTCCCACTTTGCTGACACTTTCACCCCTATTAACTCCCCCAAAGATCCCAAACACGATGAAATTTTGACAATGTTCAATGCTCCTCTATATGATGTTCCACACCAAAAACAACTCATATTTTCTAATGAAATAAGAAAAATAATATAGGATATGCCAAATAACAAAGCACCAAGCAACGATCGAATCAACACAATCATTTTAAAAAATCTACCGGAGAATGCCATTGCTTTTCTAAATAATATTTACAATTCGATATTGAGAACAGGATATTTTCCTCAAACATAGAAACATTGTCATTCAACCAATAGAAAAACCACAAAACAAGAATGAGTCAAACGCAAAACATTACAGACCTATACGCCTGCTACCTATAATGTCAAAAATCTTAAAGAAATTAATACTCTTGAGATTGAACAAACATATCGAGAAAACATACAATATACCACTGCACCAGTTCGGCTTCAAGTCACAATACTATTCCGCCCACCAACTACTAAGGCTTATACATTCACACTGCTTACCAAAAGGGACAACTTACCATCGCTGCATTCGTAGACATCTCTCAAGCATTTGACAGGATATGGCATCCAGCTATTTTAAATGAAGTTCAGTTCCAAATATCTAGTATTTGTTATCCTTAGCTATATGACAAATATAACATTTTCAGTATTAGTTGAAGGCCGCTGCTCCAATCCAAGGGAAATTTCAGCTGGGGTTCCCCAAGGTTCACCACTTTCCCCCACATTGTTCAATATGTACAATGCCGATATTCCTACTTCAGCATAAATAAACTCCGCTCAATTTGCATGTCACTGCACTATATATCTCAGGAATCTCTTTAACAACTCTTCAAAAACAGCTTTAGAATCACTTAAACTTGCCAATTGGATTAATGTCTGAAAAATGAAGTTGAACCCAACAAAATCTGTAGTAAAAATATTCACCTCTTCCATTATTTATAAATAACGACATCAATTGGACACCAACCAATAAAACAATAAAGTACTTGGGCTTACACTTCGATACTCGACTCTACTCGAAACAACACATAGAGGTAAAAACTGAGCAAGCCAGAACTAAACTAATGCAACTACGACCCTTACTGAATCAACACATTCAACTCTCCAAATCTAATGGTCTATTACTCTACAAAACAATAATCCAGCCGACACTACTTCATGGTTGTTCCATCTGGACCAATGCTGCAAAAACTAATCTAAAAAAATGTGAGTGGTCCCAAATATATTCTTAAGATTAATTATAAAAGCACCATAGCTCATTGGTAACAATCAACTACATAATGATTTAAATATTAACACAATAAAAAACAAAATATCCTACCTCGCGCACAATGTTTACACCAACTTTACTCGAATTCAAGCACCATCCTTCTATAAACTAGGAAAACCCCCAATTATCAAACAAGAATTAATAACAGATATCCCTTTTCATTGTTTTTATAAAATGTTCGGAAACTTGGAATAATACTTATCTGATATATATATATATATATA